CCCTACTGATGCAACCATACTTATAAACTGTCCTTATTGATGCAACCATACTTACATGTATAAACTGTCCTTACTGATGCAACCATACTTGGGGTATGTAGCTTCATATCTTTAACCCCAAGTCCCTAGGGTGTGTGCAAAATCATATCATAAATGAAGGATTCAGAACTGTTTGAGTACCAGTCCACTACATCTGGATTGTATTCAGATTTTTTTGGGGGGGGAGGGGTTGCACCCTGTTGAGAGCTGCATTTGACTTCATGAGAGCAGAGTGATAACCCTTGGATGGCATAAATGGTGAACAATCGACAGATAGGTCAATGATTGTGCGTATCCTGGTTGCTGGAAGAGTACACATGCTCCGTTTGCCGAGCCGGCATCTGTTTGTCGGCCCTTCCATTCCGTTCGTTGTTCATTTCTTGTTTTATTCCTTCATTTCTAAGATTAGTGTTGTTTTATTTGTTTGTGTATTTGTTCACTTGTCTGCAGGGTCTTTTTTTTTTGTCATTAAGTCATTTGGGGAAGAGGTTGTGTGTTTCTAGGGTATCAGGGCCACTTGAATGCAGAGAGGAAGGTTGCAGGGATAAGGAGGAAGAGATAGTTGAGGCAAGGGATTTGTGGGATGCGATCATTCAGCCTGTGACTCCGTACACCTGTAATAAATTGACGAACAACGTGACTGGACGGTTTGAGGAGTTGAAGATGTTAGATTAGCACACTGCACTCGTAGTGTAATGTATGTCATGCACTAGTAGCTATAGGACTGTGAAGTTATTCACGTACCTGGAGGTTGGGAAAATTTGAATCGTCTTGTAATGGCAGTTGGGCCTCATTGGCATTACTTTACGTTACTGGCTGGTGGAATTTGCTTGAAACATGCTGATACAAACATGTTGTATCATAGATCGCGAGCAACTGTGCCACCTCGTTCGTGTCAGACTCCAGTGGGAAAGAGTTGCACAGGTTCAAGCAGCAACCGTTTCTCTGCCACCGGTCAATTTTCCCTGGTAACCTGTAATGTATCGTGAGTGCCCGGCTAAGTTGCCCCATGGTTAAAAAAAATCAGTTGTAGCTCGAAGTTGCGTACATATGCAAGCGTGCATTAATTCACATGGCACAGCATTGGCTTTCAGTTGAATGTGCACGAAAGTTTCGGAATTCCCATTAGGAATATATGTGTACGTGTACCTGAAGCTGGGTGCAAGGTGGCAATAACACTGTAGAAAGGCTGTCTTAATTTCATGGCTATGGCTATCAACATGCACGTCTATAGGAAGTGCTTCAGCCACAAGCTAACGGCTCCCATAGATACCATGTTAATTTTCAGCCGTAGCCATAATTCAGACACGGCCTATCAGTAGCATTTCACATACCGGTACTAGTCAAGGTGTGGTCAGGCACTAATGCGGTGTGCATACATGTATGCAGTAAGTGGTGCAATAGGCATAGTCTTAAGAGATCATTGGGTGTAATAGTCAAAATTGTTGTCCATACATCTTATTCTGCTTACTGTGCATGCGTAAAGTCTTTTGTGCTAAGCTCCCCCAATCAGTTACTGCTTAGTTTCACCTGCTGGGTCATTGTCACGTCTTTGTGCAGTATCGAGTTGCATGTCGTGTTCATGGTGGCTAACGTGTAGGTACATGTACAAAGCTGTTATTCCCCTGTCTCTCCTGTTTTTTAATTGTAATGCCCTAATTGAGGATCGTCAAAGCTTAAAAGATGGGAGCCTGTATTTTGAAAGCGGTTTACTTGTCATCATGCAACGTTTGCGCAGTTTATATATTGCAATGTTGAATTGATATGTTTGTGAAAAGTAATGCGAATTATCGTTCTAATGCTAACTGTCATTCATTTAGTAGTGTGATTGAGCGTTTAACTTGTTGTGTCTGGCAGAGTTTTACACGCACATGCATTGATAGCATTAAGCCTGCTACAATCGAAACCTTTGTACAACTGGAAGGCTGTCTTCGGAACCCTCGGCTGCTGTCAAGTAGCCCCTGCCTAAACTATCAAACCAACCACGTACATGTATTTGAAGGTGTTTGAAGTATTCCTGTGTTCAGCATTAAACTTCCCACGGTTACAAAAGCCCCCAGCCCTAGCCCCATTTGGAGCAAGACATGGGACGGAGAGAACCCCCCCCCCGCCTTTGTGTTGGGCACTGTTTGATCGGAATCTCAGGAATTGTTTACAGACTTCTAGGGGGATGTGTTAGGTAACAATAGTCTACAGTGTGTATAGGGATTGGACAGGTAAGGGGGGTACCCCTCCGTCCCCTATCTTGCCTGGTCTACCCAGCCCTCCCCTGCTTCCCCCCCCCCAAAAAAAATACTTGTACAATGTACGTTATTAATTGGGGTCATTCAAGTGGATATGAATTCCAGGGAACATTGTGTTGTACGGGATTTCTACTTGTGGGCTTGTAACAAATGCACATGTACTTGACAAGCCGCGAAAAATGAGTCACAAGATACCAAAACTACTTTTATGAGGATGCAGGACAGATCTGAAAATTGACAAGAATTGTTCGATTTCTTTACCGGATAATGCCTTGTTCTGTAGGTAATGCCAAATGGAGCAGTTCTTCAAAGTGAGGAATTCACTTTGTACTTCAGATGTATTTTAGAAAATAAATAAAAATGTCAACCAAATCTACTTCAGACTCGTTTTGTGGGATTCGGTCCATTCTCCAACGCTGCTTGTTAGTATTGCACTTTCCCTATTATTTTTTTTTCTCTCGTCAGGCGAGCGCAGCAAAAAGAGTAAACTGGAGGAGGATCCTGACTTACCAGTCAAGATGCCAGTAGCGCTGTTGAGGTTCCAGAGTGGACCCAAGGCAGAAGTTCTCTCCCCAGGGGGTGGAGAGAGAGGCTTTCTACAACTCGAGGTACTATGAGTGACAATCCAGAAACGGCAGTAACACGGAACTCTTAAAAAGTAGTTTGCATTTTTTGTTGTGTCATCAGGAGTGCCATGAAACTTAGACAATAGATCTCCATCATGGGGCAGCCATCTTGCTTTTCTACCATTTAAACCAATAACCAAACTGAAGCTGGAAGGAAAAATAGTCCAAATAGTCTGTTCCCTTTTATCGGTATGTGAACTGACATAACTTTTGCCGATGGGTCTACAGGGAACAAGACAAACATGGCAGCATGATGATAAAAGTCTATTATGGTCATTTCTGAAATCCGTGTTCCAGGCATGTTTCTTCAACTGGTATGGGCTATTCCAAATTACCAGGCTTTGCTCCACTCTAATGGATTTCGTTTTGACAGGTTTGTGGTCTGGCGACGACCTTCCGCATGTCCACCATGACTCACCTTGGCAGCTTCATGACAGACGAGATCATCAGCGACGCCATGCCCATGTCTATCCGGGTCTCCAACTCCGTGATTGAGCTCATGGTACGATTCGAGGCTTTCACCTGCCTGAACATCCCACTCAAGTCAGGTTGCAAGTCGAGTCCTAAGCCATCCAAGTGGGCCGTGACAAAAGCATTCCTTTGTCATTCACAAAGTCACTTATGACTGGACTCGCAACAGGACTTGTGACTAGACACAAAAAGTATTCAATCGCAGCGTTAGCCAATCATCAACAATTTCTGCACAGTCTACGAATGGAATTGTAGATGAAACATAACGTTTCCAAGGACCCTCAAATTATGGAATGATCGGCCCCAACATATGTTATTGATTCTGAGATGCACAAGACCTTCAAACAAAATTATTACAACTACATACCGCCTAAGAATTAGACGCCGACCCTCCCTGTAACCTCCTAGTCAAGATGATCCCTAGAGGATGTTTCAGGACCAGGCTGAAGTTACTGAGGAGAGATTTTCCAATTTGAACTACTTATGGATGAAATGCTAAAAGACAAGTGCTGTCCATTCCCCATTTTTTTATTGTTTGCAACTAACAGAACTGTTGCACAGACATGATTCCATTTGACGATGAAGATAGATCCAAGGAATATACATACACACTTGCATGTCACTAATATTCTTGAACGTAAAACGTGCGTACATTGGACAGGATGTAACCGCTTGCCTTGGTGTAAGATTCGTTTAATACACGTGCGCCGCATCGCCCCAGCAACAGCTTCAAATCAGCCAGCTTAATTTTCTAACAGCACCTGCCCAAAATGAAACATGTTGGAAGTCATTCAGGAACAGCAGCATGCCTGCCTGCGAGGCCCGCCTGCGAGGCCCCCCTGCAAGGCCCGCCCGAGGCCCGCCTGCGAGGCCCGCCTGCGAGGCCCGCCTGATCAGCGTGGCAGCATGCCTACTCTCAAGCGCTGAGCACGCTCACGGGATCTGTTCTCAAATAACTTTGCTTTATCTGAAATACCGAACTGGCTCATTCGGGCTCCGGGACTAGTTTGTAAACTCACAGCCATTGATTATTCCATTCCCCCTTTTTTGTTTGTAGGATGATACTCCGCCCATCTATCCTTCCCATCCCGGCCCCCAGCCTATGTGTCTAGGACTTTCTGGTCTCCATGTTCGCCGCACAGGAGACGGTATCTTCCGCATAGAAGGTAGCTATTCTTGTTTCTAACTGGACCCATACCAATCATGTTATCGTCACATTGCCTGCGCAATTACAACACATGAAGAAAGAATAGTGGCTTATCACACAACTGGAATTTGTCATAATTATTAAATGTTGGCTCCTTTCTCCTAAATTCTTTTACCCCCTCGCTCCGGGAGGCGGCAAGAGCCGCGGCTTTGTGTGAGGATTCGTGCATACCACACATACAGTCTATTCACCATGCAGCTGCTGGTTCAATGGGGCCTGCTGCTGGACAAAGCCCTCCATTCAGGGCATACCACAGCCCAGCAGTCACGGTCAAAGGAATTACCGGCGCAAAGGGGTTAACAACATAATGTGACCTTCTACAAAGCAAGATTCCTGGTTTTAGATAGAAAACAGCTCTTGAGGCTAAAACAAGCACCAGTTTTCTCGCTTCAGATCTTTTGGTTTTACAACCCTTTCCGTGAAAGCAATTACGTTCAACAGTGGCCAGAACTGTAGTGCCATGGTAGTCGGAGAGAGCTAGTATTTTCTTTTTTTTTTTTTTTTTAAACTACACCTATGTGTGAATGTTGAAAGGGGAAAATACAAATTCATCAGACCCAAATTCTTACTGGAATGACAGGACTGATTTAGCTGACCTTAGTTCTCAATATACTGGCAGTAAGGGTCCCTGCGAAAGGTGCAAAATCAAACCCTGAGAGTGAGTCTGTTCATTCTGTGTGCGTATAGGTACCAGCGAGGTACCCCAAGCCCCCTCCGTCCCTGTCCCCCAGGAGGACAAGACCCCCACGGCCTCCCCGGCCCAGTTGGAAGACGAGAATGCCCGCCTGGTGGGCCAGGTGCTCCAGATGAAGGCGGCCCTGGACGTCCTGGAGATCGAGCGGTCCTCCCTGCTGGCCACCCTGGAGCACCTCCAGGAGGAACTGTTGACGGTGGACCGGGAACGCGACGTGCTGCGTAACTCGGTGGTGGAGCTGTCTCGGCTGCTTAACCTCCAGAGATGAGCGCGGCTGACTCGGAGTCCAATTTCACAGAGCTGCTCAGCACGGGAAACTGTCGCTTAGGGAAAAGAGGTTACCAACCATATAGCCATACAAAGTATTAAATTGAGCCGGTTGCTGGCTCAGTTTTGCTAAGCACAAAAATCTGCTAGGCAATTTTCTTCCCCACATAGGACAAATGTGAGTGACAACCGTAGTTAACTATAGTTCGATCAACGTTGGCTGAATGATGGCTGGTTGGGATTGGCTAGATGACCATTTAGAAGCTGGCCCTGGGGCATGGTAGCATCACCAGTTAACTGGTTATCAACAGCCAATTCAGCATATCAGTACAGAGGGAACCACTGATCCATGAAAATAATTGTCTGAGGCTACTCCGGCTAATCCGTGGAATTTATTTCCCGATTGTGAACCTGGTGCTCAAAACTACGTAGACGGGTGATGCCATGAGGTTGGGGCACAATTTGTGACGGTGTCCTTGTTACATGAGTAACTTTTACCACCTGTCATGACCTGTAGAGTACATGTAGTAACACACACCTCTGTATTCGGCCTTGCAAGATGTATAACAATGCCAATTTGGAATCCACATGCAGGGAAATAACTGTTCTTCTTAGATTGTCACAGAGCCCCCGTAACAATTGATACCGTCACAAATTGTGCCCCAACCCCATGGAATGTGACTCAATTGGAAGTTAATGCCTCCGTTTGTCATTGCCAGTGGGGCTTGCCATGTCAGTACAAATTAAACACCCTACGTATTAAGACTTCATTGTGCGAGGGCATTTCAATCCCAGGAACAGCTGTCCTAGCTTCATCAATATTGATGCTGACTGTGGTTAGACTAACACACACACAGTTTGTTATGGGCAATATATCAACCAGTTGTCTGTAGTTTTTATGAAATTCACTCTCACCAAGCGAATAAAATCATTTGCAACTGCTAAACATTTATACTCCGAACTCGGCAGCCAATTAAGCCTGTCGTCCCGTGTGTGAATTCTAACCTGACGCTGGTGCTATTTGGGTGTGTATTTCTTAACTGGGTACACTGTTTTTAACATGGAAACATTTGGTATCCCAGTGAAACTCTTTTCTTTGTTCTACTTAGATCTTCGAATAATCAAACAGAAAATGCTTTTATTGGCTTTTGACAATAAAATGAAGTACTCAAAACCAACGTGTTAGGATGCAGACTTTGGAACCAAAATGGCCGTTCATTATGTGTGCAGCACAGCATAAAGCTATTGTGTGCTAACTGTCCACTTGCACTGATGCTTAAGTCCACCATTTTGGTTCCAACAATTGCAACGCTCATGTCTCGTACAACTCTCTCTATAAACAGCTGTGAACTAATCCAAGGAAATACTATAACTGTGATGGTGCTACACTCGTGTGAAATCTTGGACTTGACGCATGTGTGCATTTCTAAATCGCACACCCTATGGGCAGAGCAGCATGTTATCCACGCATAGACCACCTCGTGCCATTGTAATAATGGTTTCTAATTCTGGTTGTCGAATTACACGATAGAGTCCTCTGATTGTGGTACCCATAGAGCAAAGAATAGGATGATGCATAGCATACACGCTGAAACCATAGGACGCACCACGTGCACACACTGATTCTAGAGTCCTCTGATTGTGGTACCCATAGAGGAAGGAACAGGGTGATGCATAGCATACAC